GGTCACCCCAACTGCCCTGCTCTGCTAGCCTGATCGCCCACAACAGCCCTCCCCTGCAGGCCATCTTGTGGCAGCCATCTTGTGTCCACATGAGGGAGGCCATCTTTGACCACATTGGGGCAGCCATCTTATGTGTTAGAGTAATGGTCAATTTGCATATTACCTCTTTATTACATAGAATAGGGTTTTGGTATACCTTTTAAACTCTTATTGCATATTAATTTTCATCTGTATTAGTAGTTCGTGAACATTACCATATTCCAGGTAGATTATGTACTATGAATACATTATTTCATTTAATATCCACCACAATACTCTGAAGTAGATCTTAGTCTGTTTCACAGACGTAGAAACTGAGGCATAGAGAGGTTAAGTTGTTTGTCTAATACCACAGAGCTGACAGATTTGAGATACAAGCCCAGGCTCTTCTGGCTCCAAAGCTTATTTTATTTAGCCTACCGAGTCCTATTGCTTTGCTTAAGATATTCATCATATTCTGCCTCATTTTGCAGGCATTTGCCCAAGTTCTGCATTATGAGTCCTCTGGGTGCACTCACTTTACTTCTCTCCTATTAGCCTGAAATAGTGATATCTGCTATTGATTCAAGCAGTGGTCTAGTCTGTGAACTGAACATCACAGACTGTGTGTGGGTTCTCCTCAACTTATTTTGAAAATTTTAAACTTACAGGGAAGTTTCAAGAATAATGTAAGGAACACTCATATATCTTCTACCTAGATCCCACCGATGTTAACATTTTGTACATTTGCTTTTTTTCTTGACCATTTGAGTTAATTGCAGATATATGCTATTCCATTGCTAAAAACAATGCCCTGTCTACATAACCAAGATGCAATTACTTCCTTCAGAAAGTTTTACCTGATTGCATTTCTAATATAGTCTACATTCAAGTTTTCCCAATTTTGTCCTAATAATGTTTCTCAATAGCTGTTCTCTACCCCGAGGTCCAATGTGGGATCACATTGCTTTTAGTATATTTTTCATCTCCTTTTATTTTGATTGATTTCTAGAGAGAGGAAGGGAGAGAGATAGAAACATCCATCGGCTGCCTCTTGCTCCCCCTACTGGGGATCCAGCGGCAACCCAGGCTTGTACCTCTGTCACCCCCACCTCCCTCCAGCATCCATCAGGTGTCCTCTTGGTTCATGGGTCAGGCTCTACCACTGAGCCACACCGGCCGGGCTCATCTCCTTTAACCTAGAACAAACAGTTCGTTAGCCTTTTGCTTAATCTTTCATGAAATTTACAGTTTTGGTGTGTTTTTTTTAAAGGAGACTGGGCAGTTGTTCTGCAGCATGTCCCTCGATTCGAGTTTGTTTCTTCACCAATAGACACAAAATCACATACTTTTGGCAAGAGTAACTATCGTCGGGTCGGTCCTCTGTGCACGAAAGCAGGGAGCACATGATGTCAGTCTGATTTCTTTGATGTGAAGGTGCCAAAGCAATCTGTGGGTGATGCTTTGAAACATGAACATCTTCAACCTCCCTGCATCCACTGATAAATCGTTGCCTGCACCCATTATTGGTGGTTCCCACGTGGCGATCTTCTATTTCTATCATTTCTTCTACCTTTATTAGTTGGTGTTCTTCTCTAAAGAGGTTTCCCTCCTCCATCACTCTCCTTTTGAATTACCTTGAATACTTACATCCCCGCCCACGTTTTCTCATCCTTTAGGTGAGAGGACCTATGGGCCACATCCTTGGAATTCAGATTTTCCCATAAAGATGGGCAAGGCATCTGCCAGAGAATGCAACGTGGCCTGGTTCCAATGGCCAGCCAGCCGCCCAGCAGCCACCAGCCCAGCAGGACCGAGTCTCCCCCGCACGCCGCCCGTGCGGCCGCGCCCATAGCAACAGTAACCGGCCACTACCAGGCGTTCTCGCGAGAGCCAGCCCGCCAGCGACAAAGGTGCGATTCCCGCAGGCCTTTCCTCCCTCCGCGCGCGCCCCCCCTCACCCCCCCCCCCCGCCCCTCCTCTCGCGTGGACCACCGCCCTGGCCACCTGCGCGCAGGGCCTGCCGCGCACGCGCACGCGCACACGCACACTCGGGGCAGTTGGTGGTGTTGGTTCGCCCCAGCTGTTCCTCTCGGCACGCAGCTCCGCGGCGCGCGACCCCGCAGTGACACCACGGCGCATACGCGGTGCGGCGGGGAGGCGGGGGGACGCGCAGGCGCCGCGGGGGAAGTGAGGCCGCGCAGGCGCGGACGGCGTTGGTTGAAGAAGACCTTCAGCGTTGCCCTGGCGGAGCAGAGACCTGCTCTCTAGGAGGAGGTGAGCGGGGCCGAGGCCGCGGGGCGTGCCGGGGGGTGAGGGAGGTGGGTCGCCATGGAGCCGCCGGGGACGCGACGGGGAGGCGAGCCTAACGGAGGGGGCTCGGGAGGGAGAGCGCAGCCTAACGGGGCGCCGGCCGGGCCGGCTGGGCCGCGGAGGGCAAAAGAGGACCTTGCTCTGCCCTGGCCGCCTTGGGTGATGGAGCCGCTGCGCCGGCGGGGGCGGGGGGCTGGCGGCGCCGAGAGCGCCGGGCCGCCACCTTCCCGACGCCTGGGGTGCTCGCGGGACTTTGTTTCCAGGCGTCAGGCCAGAAAGGAGGTTGGTTTCTAGGGAAGTTGGGTCCTCGAACCCCCGAACCTACTCCCCGCTCCCCCAGCTTCCTCTCTGGAATTGTGATCCAGCATCCTGGGAGCCCCTCCGCTCCCGCCCGCCCAAGGGAGGATGCTTTCTGTGCAACCTGGAAAGGAGAGACGGGGCACACTGCGGGCTCTGCCCTGACTGTGTGGCTGGTTGTTGTGTGAAGCAGCGGTGCCCCGTTAACGCCCTCTCCTCGGCCTCTTGTGCGCGTCCACAAGTAGCAAGTGCATTTGGTAGCGCGAATAGAAACATGATGACAGCTTTCCTCGCTCTCGGGTAACGTGAAGACTCTTGGCTTCTTGATTTTTATTATTATTATTATTATTATTATTATTATTATTATTATTTGCTTGATCATACCAGTCGCACATTTCCCATCAGAAATCGTGGGCCTGAAAACGTAAGCTTGAACTGGGCAGAACTGAGATCAGTTGGTAAATTAAACCAGCTGCACGACTTTTGCAAAGCGCCTGTACGTAGCAGTGGTTTTGAAAAAAAGAAGGCAGACTGCTAAAAGGTCGTGATGAGCCCCTGGATGGATGTTTCTAAACATTCAAGTGCACCTTTTCTTTTGTCAGGAGATGAAAAACCAGAGTCTAAAGCCTTAACATTTCTATTTGAATGGATAGTGCTTGTTTGTTTGTTTTTTCTGTACGTACCTTTCCAAATTATAGTCTACTGGCAAAATTTTAACAGATACCAGCAGCAGTGGTGATCATAAAAAGCATTACCAGGTTGCAGTGGCAAGGTGTAAAATGTATAGAATCTATCATTTGAATACAAGGAACTGAATTGTAAAATAATTTCTCTGGAAGTGAACTCTGGAACCCTATGGCTTAGAGAGAGAGAGAGAGAGAGAGAGAAACACTTTTATTATGGAATGAGTCAGTACATTTATTATCCTGACCCTTTCATTTTTACTATACTCTTTCCTGGAAACTGTGGCTTAGGACAAAGTTTTTTCATGGTCTGAGACAGTACATTTATCCTGATTCTTTCATCTTTACTCTTCCCTCCTAGCTTTATGGGTATGTGTGTATTACGCTGTTCCCTTAACACACAATGTCTGTTGTATTTGACAGATTTAGGTTAAGGAACAAATTTGTAATGAATTCACAATTAAGCAGTGCATTATAAGTTCAGGTATGATGGCAGAAACTTAACAGAAGGCCAGATTAAGACCTGGGCTGAATAAATATTAGTTTGAATGTGTAGGCATAGGAATTGCAAGGGCTAGCTGGTGCTCTGGAATTTTCTGATTTGGTGTTTGGGGCTAACTGGGTTGCTTCGGATGGCTCTACAGTTGGTCACACGCGGTTTTTGAGATTGCTGTAGGAAAAGATTTCCCCTTACACTCAGGGCAAAGGAATGGTATGTTCAGCAGTGTTGACAGAACTGAGCATTTCAATGTGAGCCATTGGCAGTAGAAAAGCTGAGTGAATACTAAGTAAGCAAGATAAAAAGTCAGGGCACTTTGGGATTTAACTTTAGAGTACACCAATTCTTGATAAGGAAATTACCGCAGGTAGAATTATTCCTATTTCTGGCTCATGGGTACTGTTTTAGCACTTTATAATAAGAAGAGTTTTGAGCCCTAACCAGTTAGGCCCAGTGGATAGAGTGTCAGCCTGGAGACGAAGGGTCTGAGTTTGATTTTGGTCAAGGGCACATGCCTGGGTTTGGGCTCCATCCCCAATAAGGGGGGTGGGTGTGTGTGTGTGCAGGAAGCAGCCAATTAATGATCCTCTTTTCATTGCTGTTTCTCTCCCTCCCTCTCCTCTCTGAAATCAATAAAAATATAGTATTTAAAAGAAGAGCTTTGAGAGGGCATATTCTGGATGATTATATTTCAATTAATATGGTAATTCTTATTTTAAGAGCTTAATTCCAGAGTAGCAAAAATATTAACCCAAAAGATTTTTAGTGCATCTGTTTAAGCTTACAGTTTCTTAACAAATTTACCTGTTGCCTTATACAAGCTTTTGGCTTTATAAGAGCCTAAGAAATATTTTTCTAATGTAAATTTTCATTTTTTTCAAGTAAAACGTTAAATTAACACATTTCTCCTTTGGCCAGTGAGAAATTTCTTTTCTTTGAAATGCAATCAGAAGATGACCTCTGACTCTCCGGGGGGGAAAAACACTCTTTATTTTTCAGTGTTCAAGAAAGTTCTTTTTAAAGGATCTGTATGCCTTAAGTTTTGCTGGCATTAGGGTGTAAGCATTAATGATGCAAAGGAAGAGAAAACGTGTACTTCTTCTCACAGCACTATATAGCAGAAAGACTAAGGCTGAATAAATACTAAATGGTTATTTTTATTCCATTGTCCCCATTTTTCTCTATAAGAGATGTGTAACACACCAACTTACTGTGACCTCGGAAAGGCTGCCAAGGATGTCTTCAACAAAGGATATGGTAAGTATGCAATTGTAAATTTCCAATTTTAGTATTGAATGCTTATACCATGCTAGTAAAATGAGGTTTACATTAATGTGTCTAGTAAATGAGGTTAACATTTTAAAGTAAAAAATTAAATTAACACATTTCTCCTTTGGCCTGTGAGAAATTTCTTTTCTCACAGGATTTAAGGGGATAACTATTAACACATTATTAGACTTCATTCTTTAGAGGGAGTCACACAAGTTTTAAAACAAGATTTAAGGGGATAACTATTAACACATTATTAGACTTCATTCTTTAGAGGGAGTCACACAAGTTTTAAAAACAATTGTTTAAAAATAAGATCAGACCTAGCTGGTTTGGTTCAGTGGATAGAGCATTGGCCTGTGGACTGAAGAGTCCCGGGTTTTATTCCAGTCAAGGGCCTATACCTCGATTGCAGGCTTCTCCCCGCCCTGGTCCTAATCCGGGCACATGCAGGAGGCAGCCAATCAATGTGTTTCTCTCACAATCGATATTTCTCTGTCTTTCCCTCTCTCTTCCATTCTCCCTAAAAATTAATGGGAAAATATCCTCAGGTGAGGATTAACAAAACAAACAAAATAAAACCAAGTAATATAAATCTGGCCACAATTAATTTCACTGGCCACAATTAAAGTAGAGGGTACATTTTTCCTTCTCTAAATAATGGCAGTGTTTTTGTAAAAGTGAAGACCCAACTTTTAACTTCTTCAGAGTAATATATATTCTTTGATTCAGTAGACATTTATTTTTAGTTTTTAAAGTTTAGTCTTTAAACTTTTAATTTTTTGTGTTGTACACATTTGATTTTTGTTATTAACTAGTACTGTTAATTACATATGAATATTTTAAGCTTGTATATAATGTCTGCATAGTATTTTCTAATAATTTTAGTTCTCAGAATAGTACATATTCCATTCATTCTTTTGTTCTTTAACTTACAGTTTTAAAATATGTCTTTATTATTTTTAGGGGTTTAAAAATTATGCTTAAGCTAGTTCATTATAATTGTTTCTTGTGGAAGTCTCACTTAACAAGAATACTGTATATTTTCCAAATGGAAGTGATTATGGGCTATTTTCATAATTTATAAGTTACAAAAACTGGAGTGAATGTCACATTTTGTACATTACTGTGTTTTTGTTTGTGTCTAGGGTTTGGCATGGTCAAAATAGATCTGAGAACCAAGTCATGTAGTGGAGTGGTAAGTACCTAATGTATTTTCAATAAATGTATCCTCATGAACTGAAAAGAACCAGTTTAAAAATTAGTGTTTAGTCTGGTTATGTGAAGCAGCATACTTTTGGCTCTATGCTCTCTTTCTGACAGTTATATTCCACTCTCAGATTTCAGTGAGATTCCTCACTCAGCCACTTGAGCCCAGAAACAATCATGATGAATTTTTTTGGTCATAATTAGACTATTCTTAAGTCTTACTCTCAGAATGTATAATGTGTGTGTATATATATTTGACCCATGTCCCATTATTGTGAATCTTCATGAGAATGGGCAATGAAAACTTTCCTTTTGCTGAGATCGGTTTGGCTCAGTGGATAGAGCGTCAGCCTGCAGACTGAAAGGTCCTGGGTTTGATTCCAGTCAAGGGCATGTACCTTGGTTGCGGGCACATCCCCAGTAGGGGGTGTGCAAGAGGCAGCTGATTGATGATTCTCTCTCATCGATGTTTCTAACTCTCTATCCCTCTCTCTTCCTCTCTGTAAAAAATCAATAAAATATATATATATATATATATATTTTTAAAAGACTTACCTTTTGTTGTATTGGGTTGATACAAGTTTTGTCATCCTTTTACAAGAATAAATTAATTTTAGCCTCTGCCCCTTCATGATTAATTGAAGCAAATGTAGAAATAAAATGCACGTAGAAATTAGTGTATAGTTTTTATTGATGTTCATAAAGTCTGTTTTACTGGAAGTTAAGTTCATATAGTAAAAGATATTTGTGCATATTTTCAAAGCATTATTAACCAGAGCTTTTATTAAGACTCAGCAACTAGATTACATTTACATTCACCTCATTCTCAGATATCTCCTAATTGGCCTCATCTTTTTTGGTATTACCTATTCAAACAGATGCCAAGTTTATTTCTGGGTATAAAGAGTTAATTATTATAGAAGGGAAGAGGTGTGTGGAATTCTTATGATACTTTGTCTCACACTCTGTATCAACCTGATTTGTCACTTTCTTTCCCTGGATTTTCTACTGGTGAATAAATACATATGCAGCTACACCGTTAGGATGGGTACATTGTATATGGTTCTGTTAAAATAGAAATATACTCATTCAGAATTTGGTCAAGTTAGGTTTATGTTGCAAAAACCATCAACTAAAAATGTTATCTCCCTTTCATGCTGCTGTGGTGTGGGAATATTCGTTCAGATGGTAAGAAAAACAGCATATGTGTGCTTATTTTTATGGTTGCTTTTGGTCTCTGGTACTGATTCATGATAAATTATATCCATTGCTCCAAATTTCTTAGATTGCATCTTGATATTTTTGTCATATGCCTTTTATTAACAGTAACATTTTTAAGATTATTTTGTTGCTTTCTAGCATTTAATGTAGAGCTATGTGCATGTTATAAATGTGTTTTGCACTGTTTGAGCTAATTATGAAATTAGAGAAAAACAAGCAATTATGAGCTTAGAACTAAACTTAGAAAAATACTAGCCTTCTCTTTGAAATTTGTAACTGGTATTTTAGATTTTTGACAAAATTTTAAACTAAGAAATGATAAGAAAGAAAGGTAGACTGACTACTCTTTCTTTGAGTATATTTACTATACTTTAAAGTTTATGAAAGGTAAATGTAAAAAATAAAACACTGGATAGTTGGATCTACTAAAAGACAGTGCTGGCCACATTAAATAATTGTGTGAACTATTAAACATGACTAGCTTTTTATCATTTTTTTACTAAGGCCTTGCCCTAAATATGCAGCATGATATTCTCTGAAAACTTTCTGTGTGGTGTTGATAAACAGATCAGAGTTTCCCAGTTGTTTCATCAGCCTAGAAACAGAGTTAGAGAGCAGGGTATTTATTGAAAGGAGGATTCATGTTGCAGGCAGTGAAATATAACTGGTCAGGGTTGGCAGTATTTCAGAAATGTTCTTTAAAAACAGGGCCAATCAGAATGGTTTTTTCTTGACAGTTCATTGATTGTCAGTGACAGGTGTTGACTGTTTGCTTCCCCTAGAAGGATATCTATTTCAGATTGCTTATTGTCATATGACTGAAATGATACTTAACTAGGGAGAAGGATCTATTTTAAGATACTCATAATAGCTATTTGATAGAAAGCACTTTAAAGGTAGCTTAAACAAGGGGAGAAGGGAGGAAAAGGAATAAATTATAGGTAATTTTGTGGAAAAAAGTAAGAAAGTTTTCATAACAGTATGAATGTACTAAATGCCACTGAACTGTACATTAAAATGTGGTTAAAATTGTAAATATATTAAGTTTATTTTATAACAATAAAAATAATTTTTTTTAAATGCAATAGAATTCCGACCTTATTAAAAGGAGGAAGAGAGGCTAGTGCTTCCACTGATTTGTGAATTTTAAGAACTTTAAACTTAACTAATAGTTTAAATGATGATAGAAAACTGATCATCTTTTTCAGGCTATGAAAGTAAAATGTTTAAAGATTCTATAGTTTTGTCATTTTTGGTAAAGGCATTTATTTTCAGTTAAGATACTTTTTTTTTTTTAAAAACAAGAGAATATATGATTTCCATTTAGTAAGAGAATATATGAAATAAGAGAGATGGAGTAATGGAAAACTCCAAAACTGGTTAAAATATTTTGAGATTAGAAAGAAGGAAAGCAGGCAGTGTGTTGCTGTAGAGTGGGGCTGTGGTAAATGTTAATTGTACTGGTGTCTACTGCATTAAACACAGCTTTCTGAAATGGTATTTTGCTATTTTATGAGCTCTCTTTAAAGTTATTTTTTATTGCTTAGGAATTTTCTACTTCTGGTCATGCTTATACTGACACAGGGAAAGCATCAGGCAATCTAGAGACAAAATATAAAATCTGTAACTATGGACTTACATTCACCCAAAAATGGAACACAGATAATACTCTTGGAACAGAAATCACTTGGGAGAATAAGGTAAGAGAAAGCATTAGCAGATATTTGTGTGTTAAATTTATCTTGCAGATAAGATGATGATCCCCAAACGTAATCTGAAATCTTACAACCTTTCCAGGAGCCATGTTTTTTCTTTGTTCGTGGCCGTCTTTGATATGTCTTATATTTATAGAAAGTTGGGCTTTGTTTGCGAGTACATAATTATCACTCTACATCTTTATTCTGAACTGTTCTACTTATTCTGTTATACATCTAAGCCTCTCCTGGGTAGGCCAAGCTATTTGCAGTGATTTAGTTTTAATTTTGTTTTGTAATCATTGCAAAATTTGCTCCACAGAAAAATGTTTCTAAAATTCTATGATGTTTTCAAAGATAAATATATCAGATATTTATCAAGGGCCTGCTATGTACAGGGTACTTTTTTTTTTGGAAGTTGTCTATATGTACATTACCCTATAAAAGTAATCTAAATATATAAAAGCCTAAGCTACCAGTTGCTATCACACGCACTGACCACCAGAGGCCACTCAACACAGGAGCTGCCCCCTGGTGGTCAGTATGCTCCCACAGCGGGAGTACTGCTCAGCTGACTGACGGGCACCAGACGCTGGCTTGTGATTGGTGAGTGCAGCTGTGGTGGCACCCACAGCAGAGCGGCAGTGAGCCTACCAAGCTGTGGCAGTGGCATGCGCAACGGGGCCAGGTTGAGTGGAAGTTAAACAGCAACTGGCCACCTGCTGCTTCGTGCACTACTACATCCCTCAGGGGATGTTGGACTGCTGGTTTTGGCCAATCCCTGCAGGCCATGCCAAGGGACCCCATTCATGCACCGAGCCTTTAGTATACATATATACATACATACTTAATATATATAATATGCAAATTGACTGAACAGCTGAATAGCAAGAATCACCATCTGGACAACCACACTATGACACATACTGGCTCCAGACCAGCCAAGGCAGGTGCGATGTCATTGGTGGGGGGGCACCCACCATCACCCCACAATTGCCCCGCAGAGGGAGGCCCAGGCCACTGGCCAGCAGGGCAATCAATCTGGGGGGACAAAAAAAGGCGGATAGTGGTAGGCATGGGCAGCACTAGGGTAAGATGGGTATGGACAGGAGGTAGGACCGGCTACCAGCAGCCAGACGGAAGCCCAGGTGCCAGCAGTCGGGGAAGGAAGGCCTACCCTTGAAATATATATATACTAGAGGCCCAGTGCACGAAATTCATGCACTTGGAAGGGGAGTCCCTCAGCCTGGATTGCGAGAGGGTGCAGGCCAGGCCGAGGAACTCCATTGGTGCATGATGGGGGCTGGGAAGGGATGTGGGAGGTTGGCTAGCCAGGGAGGGACCACAGGAGGGCTCCAGGGCATTTCTGGACTGTCTCATTCAGTTCTAATAGGCCAGACCCCAGCAGCATGCTAACCTACTCATCAGAGCATCTGCCTCTTGGTGGTCAATGCACATCATAGCGAGCAGTTGAGTGGCCTTAGCATATCATTAGTATATTATGCTTTGATTGAATGGCCAACTGGAAAACTGGACACTTACCATATTAGGCTTTTTATATATATATATATATAGGATATATACAATGAAGTACTTAAATTGGCTTGTTAAATATCAGGCTGTCTTATTACTATAATTTCAAGAGAGTATTTTGTTGTTTTTGTACTATGATCTACATTACTGCCTGGAAGAAAATTGGACTTTTATATTTTAACCTGTTGTTTTCATGAGAGAATCATGATGAAGCCTGGGGTAAGGAGAAAGAGGTAAAGGGACAAAGGATGAAGAGGTCATTTATTAAATAATTTAATATTTGTCTTTCTTTAACAACTTCCTGTTTTTGTTTGTTGTTGTTGTTGTTAGGAAGTTAGAGAAAACTTTAGAATTGGTTCTTGAGTCAAAATAAAAATTAAAAGTTACTAATTATTAATTTTAAATCTTTATTTTTCAGTTGGCTGAAGGGTTGAAACTGACTCTTGATACCACATTTGTCCCGAACACAGGGTAATTATCCAAACCCCATTTTCTGATGTTTTTTAGCCTGAAGCGTTTTAAGTAGGAAATTGCAATAAAAAGTTTTGATGCTTCGGAGGTTGCTGTTAGGAATATTAGAGACCTTGTGTATTCAGTTAAAAGAAAGAAAGACTCCCTTGAGGCAGGGAAAATTTGTTATTTGAAAATTGAACAGATGAACAAAAATATACATCTGGTCCAAAGAGACACATCATAGTAGAAAAAGTTTAGGAACTAGAAGGGCCTGACATAAAATAATTCCTTAGCGATTCCAAGGATTCATGGATATAGTATTTTGCTGAGGATTTCTTAAGAAAACAATGTAATCTGGCTATAGAACACTATAATGACTAGTTCTGCTGTTGACTTGCTTTCTTAGCCTTAATAAATCCTCCCAACTTCTCGGCTTCAATTTCTTTAAAAATGGGTTTGTGTTGTTCCCTTTCTGCCTATCAGAAGAACAGAGGTGCAGAGTGGCATTTCTTAGCTGTATCGACAGGTGCATCCATCTTTCCTGCCACACTTTAATTATCTTCAAGACACACAGTCTCATAAGAGGCCTGATTGGAATAGAAAAGGATTATTAAGAACTAATTTCAGTATTATCCTTCAAAAATACACACTTCTCTTCCATCTATCTAACATTGTCTATAGAGAAAAAACTGACCCTAAAGAAAATAATTGTGTTTACAAAAGGGCTGTACCCTTTAAGAAGAAAAAAAAAAAATACACTTCTCTTTGTAATAGGCTAGGTTAATTTAGAAGCTTAGTGTGTCAGGTGTTGTTACCTTTTGTAGCATTTGGGCATTTGGAAATATTTAAAGAAATCAGGCTTCTTCTACATATACATATAATTCAGATTGTTTGGTTCTGAAATATCTTACTCCTTTCTATACTTTTTTATAGAAAATATATTTTTTATTGGTTTCAGAGAGGAAGGGAGAGGGAGAGAGAGATAAAAACATCAATGAAGAGAGAGAATCACTGATCAGCTGCCTCCTGCACACCCCTTAATGGGGATTGAGCCTGCAACCCAGGCCATGTGCCCTTGACTGGAATTCAACTTGGGACCCTTCAGTTCCTGGGCTGATGCTCTATCCACTGAGCCAAGCTGGTTAGGGCCTTTTTATACGTTTGTTCATGCCTTCAAGAAGTTAATCATCGAATAACCCATTATTTAAACTTACATTGAGGAATAGGTAAAAATAGTACATATATGCCTAATACTAATGAAGTTATATTTTTAAAGCTAAGTATTTTGAAACATTTTTGCTGTATGTGTGCCATCTATTGCTGGGGTAGAGAGGATTTTATTGTAAAGATTCCGGACAGTATTAGAAATTCTTATTGTTTACATGTGTTGTGTTTGTGATTTTTTCACAGAAAGAAGAGTGGGAAATTGAAGGCCTCCTATAAACGGGATTGCTTCAGTCTTGGCAGTAATGTGGATATAGATTTTTCTGGCCCAACCATCTATGGCTGGGCAGTATTAGGCTTTGAAGGTTGGCTTGCTGGCTATCAGATGAGTTTTGACACAGCCAAATCCAAACTGTCACAGAATAATTTTGCCCTGGGTTACAAGGCTGCAGACTTCCAGCTGCACACTCATGTGTGAGTGTTTCTAATTTATTCCTCCCTTAGTGCCAGTACAGTCACCCAAAAAGTTGGTGGCTATTCGAATGGTTGAGAAGTGATGGTACTTGCATTTAATATGCCTTGGTGGACATCCAGCCTCGCTGCACTGTTTTCATAGTCAGCAAAACATAGTCAGCAAAGGTTAGTGCACTTGGTGCGTTGTGCTGTGTTGCTGGCAGTTTCTGGCCTCTCAGCCTGCACCCACACTTTATGAAACTCTAGAATCTGTAGAAGCAGCATTGGGACGGTGGCCCAATGGGTCACCTCCTGATACAGGGATCCTTTGGAGATGGTCCTTCCCCTGCTGCCTACTCAGCCTTGCAGTCTTCTGACAGGTCTGTTTGGGTCATGAAGAACGAGCATTCCAGTAATTTTCTGGAGGTTTTCCGATACCCTTGGCTACGAGCAGCAGATCCTCAAAGCTGTTCTGGATTCAGTTCTGTAGACTGCTCCTTATTGGTGAAATGATTTGAACTTTTAAAATGTATTTTATGTCTTGGGCTACTAGGCCCTGCTGCTATACCAGAAAGAGAAAGCAAGGATGAGCCATGTGTTTTTGAAGTGTTGCATGTTGTCCTCCACTAGATATTCTAATTCACTTACGATGACTAAAAGTCAACAGTGGTATGGACAGTGATTAAGATTGATGAACAGTGTTTTCAGGAAAACTATGAAAACTCAGGGACTAATTTCTGGGAAGCTTTGCAGCAATTTAGGTACCTCTTTGGAGCAGTGCACCTTAAGTACTGTAGGGAGGGTGCTTTCTAACTGTAGGACGCTTTTAAATGAAATCCAGTATTGGCGTTTTTCCCATACTTGTATCACTATGTATTTTATGTGGAATCTTTGTTGAACTCAACTTTGAAGTTTATAAATTATGAACGCCAGAGAGATCTCTAGGTCCTATTCACCCGAGATGTCTGCCTTCGTATATAAGTTGTGACTAAAAAATTTATATCGTGGAGGAGCCAAGTAAATGAATCAAGTGTTAACTACATTTTAGTTAGGTGGTTAAATTACATAACTGGGTTTAGTTCCTTGTTTTATTGGTAGTCATTTATGCCAGAAGTTTGCTGAAATGACATCTTTGTTTAGTCTTAGAATTTGTTTCTATATCATCACAACAATGGTACAAACTAAATATTTTGACTTTTTCTTATACCATGAAAACAGGAATGATGGCACTGAATTTGGAGGGTCTATCTACCAGAAGGTTAATGAGAAGGTTGAAACGTCAATAAACCTTGCTTGGACAGCTGGCAGTAACAACACCCGTTTTGGCATCGCTGCTAAATACAAGTTGGATTGTAGAACTTCTCTAGCTGTAAGAATGTGCTACCAGATGTGTCTGCTTTTAGGGTTTCATCTAAGTAATTAATGAAAGTTGTGATATGGTTGTAGTTTGCATGTTTTGTATTAAATTTATGAGCTAGTCATTGTGTATTGAAAAGAATATTACACCTGAAGTCAAGATATTGGGTTCTAGTCCTAGTTCCTCCTATATTTGGCTGTTGTCTGACCTTCTCAAGTCATTTTCTCTGGCCTCAAAATTTTCTTATCTATAAATTCATGGGGTTTGATTATTCCTATTGGTATTAGTAATTTTTTATTAATAATTGCACTAATAGAGCTCTTAAATTTCAGGTACTGTGCTAAGGGCTTTATGTGTATTATCTCATTTAGTCCTCACAACTATAGGTGGTGAGTAGTATCTTCATGCTCGTTTTACAGACGAGGGAACTGAGGCTTAGAGAGGTCAGGTAACTTGCCCAAGGTCACACAATAAGTAGCAGTGCCAAAATTTGAATCAAATCTGTCTTTTACCAGAGTTCATGCTCTAACCAGAGGCTGTAAACTTGGTCTGAAGGAATTGAGTACACAGGGATATTTGACTGCATGGTGTTTTAAAAAGATTTGCTGGAGGCCTTTATGCATGCATTTTCAAAGTCCCTGCTGTTGCTACCAGTTCTCTTAACTTAGAAGGTTTATCTTTTTATTAATTAAATTTTCGGTTTCAGTCATTCTAGATTTACCCTAAGGTGCTTTAGCTTTGGAAATCTGATGCATGAAGTGGTGGGCGTACTGAACTTATACATTATGAGGTGGATTGTTTTCTTACTGTTTCTATTTCATCTCCTAATCTTAGGCTAAAGTAAATAACGCCAGCCTGATTGGACTGGGTTATACTCAGACTCTTCGGCCAGGTGAGTAAAGAAATTAGTAACAGTGGGGTTTAGTAGAAGGTGATAGAGGAATAATGATTACAACCACAGTCACTATAGACTGATTCAGACCATTTTGTAACATTTGGTTGTTCATACAAAGTAAAACAGATCAAGTACTCTTGCTTAAAAAATTTGTGTCTATTTCTATCTTGGTCACTCTGGCCTGTGAATTTGGTTGATCACTCATTCTTCTTAATCCTGAACTCCAATTAGAGTTTGCCATGATTATGCTTTGCTCATTAGAGATCAGTTGATTATGGAGTTGAGTTTATGTGTTGAGTTTAGTAATAGCTGCATGCTTATTATCTTTTACAACCAGCCATAACCCATTCCATTGACTCCATCCGATGTTTCTAGTAAATGCAGATCTGATTGTAACACTTGTCACAAATCATTGTCATGTTTTCTTCTTCCTAGGTGTCAAACTGACCCTATCAGCTTTAATCGACGGAAAGAACTTCAATGCAGGAGGTCACAAGGTTGGGTTGGGATTTGAACTAGAAGCTTAATGCGATTTTGAATAAAGCATCAGATTTCTCCCTGGAGGTGAAGAGAAATGAACCCACTATGTTTTGGCCTTAAAATTCTTCTCTGAAATTTCAAAAGTGTGAACTTTTTATTCTTCCAAAGAATGGTAATTTTCCCTACACTGAAGTCTAGAAATCGCAAGTCCATCCTAAGGGAGGTGCTTGAAGGCATGCCTGGAAGTTGTCATGTGTGTGCCACATTTCAGTTCAGTATTCTTTTAAATGTGTTCCTCAGCGACAATGTAGTGTCAAGGAGATAACCTGACCTCCAGTTTGTACATCACGTCCTGCATGTCCCACACCACTTTTTCATGACCTTTTGATATATTGGTCTCTGTGCTGTAGTGGAAATCTTTGGTTTTGCATCAGAGTAAAATAAAATAAACCCATCACATTTAACATAATCATTCATCTGATTTGCTAGTGGTGGTTTTCTTACATTTTGTGTGATTTGCTTTGGAAAATAGTATCATAGTGGGATTTATGCCGGAAGTGGTATGTCTGAAATATCTATGCTGTTGCCTGTCCCTTCCACTTTAGTGTACCTCACTCTTACTACTCCTCTGCACTCAGGCCAAGGAGTGCAACGGTGAGTTTTGTTCTGCTGGGCAGAAGCAGTTCTGTGGAGACACTGACTCCCTTTAGCAGTGTTACAGAGTAGAGTAGAATCAGACTGGTAGTTTTGAGAAAGAGTGAGGGTGTGAGTGTTTCAAAGACTGTCAGAGGAAAAGAGGACAGCTGGGAAGGAAGTACTGTAGGGAAGAAAGTGTGGTAGGAGGAGGCCAAAACTGGAGGCGGAAACAGCTGTGGCTCTTCCCAGGCCTCAGGAAAATGTTTTTGATTACTATATCTAGAAAAATAGTAAGCAAGAATGGAATTTCCGGTTTAGGAAAAAAAATGAGTAGAGTATGATTACAACTTATGGGTAAGTCATCTTTCTAAAAGTAGAACGCCTTTTGAAAAATATTTTTAAAACATAGGATATATGCCACTGTAACAAATTCAGTCAGTTTCAACATAAATAAAAGTGAAAATTGCCATCCTTCTCTTCAAACCCTATTTGTTATACCACTAACTGTTTGATATATATCCTTGCAGATATTTTTCAGTGGCTTTAGAGTATATATATGATGTGAAATGCATATTTTGTTTCACAATAACTTTTTAACATAGAGCCCTTTTTGTTTGTTTATATAGATCTGCCTCATGTTTATTTTATACTTTAGTATAAATGTGACATTATTTATTATTTAACTACTAGAGACCCGTTGCATGAAGAGATTTGTGCAATAGGCCTTCCTTCTCTTGGCTTCCAATACTGGTTTTCTTCTGGCACGTGGGACCCAGGCCTTCACTCCTGCCAGAATCTGCCTTCTTCGTCTTTGCTGCAGACTCACACCAGAATCTGCTATCTTTGTTTTTGCTGCTTTGCTGCAAACTGCCATCTTTGTCTTAGCTGTGGCACTCCGGTCCTGTAGATCCCTTTGTCCCCCGCCCTCCCTCTCATAGTAGGTGTCCTGCCCCACCGGGCCACTCTGCAGGTGAGCAACTGGGTAGCTGCCATCTTTGGCCTTCTAATTTGCATGCTCATTCTGATTGGCTGTGGGCGTAGTGGAGGTACAGTCAATTTACATGTTTGTCTATTAGGTAAAATTTCTTGTTTGTTTTCAGTTTTTTTGCCTTACAAACAGTGCTGCATTGACTATCTCTGTCCATTTATTTTTGCCCGCTTCTCAACATTTCCACAGCAGCATCACTGCCCAGTAGAACTTCCTGTGAGGATGCAAATGATCCATGTCTGTGCTGCCCCAGGTGGTGGTCACCAGGCACATATGGCTGTTGAGCACTTGAAATGTGACTAAGCCAGTGGAAGAACACCATTTAAATTCTGTTCATAATTCTCAGATTTTCCTGTTCGGATTTGATCAGTTTCCCAGTGAGTCATCTGAAAAACAACTACACCTGGTTGCGTTTTGAAACGTTTCAGTGCTACAGGGATTTCTCCCTACCACAAAAGATTACTATGACCCAAATTCCAGCCACCTCTGCCTATGATACCAACCACATGATACGATTTTATTTCCTCACTGTTTTTGTGGGTTGAACCACCATTACAGAAGATAAAATATAACAGGAAAGGAAAAGGGTAAGAGATAAGCCACATTCATTGTCTTGTTAACACCTGCATCTAGCTAACTCTGTCTCTTACTGGATGAGTTTTATATACAGCGTGAGAGGGGATGCGATGCTGAGATGGGCTGATTGGTGTATCTTTATGGTCTGGAGCAGAGAAATGAGCAGAGTGAATCGGCAGCGAGCTGCTGTGAGTTAGAGGAGTGATGCTGTGGGCCATTTCTCTTTGGTGTTAAGGATAGAGGCTACAAATGATGAGGTCAGGAGTCAAAAGGAAATAGAAGGAAACACTGATGAGATATACCTCTAATTAATTTCTTATTTACCTATTGAAATTCGTTTTATTTATGGCCTGAATTAAATGGGAAGAAAACAGACTTGTGTGTTTTTTTTTTCTCTTTCCTGTGTTATCCCTTTTACATTGTTTATTACTGCAGAGCTACAGAGCCAGATTTTTTTTTTTGCATTGATACAGTAATCCATATGTGAACATAGGTAATTTAAACTCAGTGTTTATTCAGTAGTTTTGTTTAATTATATGGCTGACTAGTCTGTGTCCCTAGTACCCTCATTATTGTGCAAGTCATTAGGTTGCAATAAAAACCCACACATTTCTGGAGCTTGTGTGCCATGCACTGTGCCGGTCACCCTTAATTTTTAAAAAAAATTTTTTATTGATTTCAGAGAGGAAGGGAGAGTGAGAGAGATAGAAACATCAGTGATGAGCATATCCTTAATTGGCTGCCTCCTGCATGCCCCCTACTGGGGATTGAGCCCACAAGCTGAACATGTGTCCTTAATTGGAATCAAATCTGGGACCTTCCAGTCCGCAGTCCAATGCTCTATCCACTGAGCCAAAAGAGCTAGGGCCTGGTCATCCTTTATCATTCATCTAATCCTCACAACAATGATCATAGACACCAGGAAAGAGCCATGAGAGGCAGCCTAAGGTGGAGCAGCTGCTTATGGTTTCTCGTGGAAATTCGCACTAGCTCCCGTCTCTTCCCCATAAAATAGAGTCAAGCACTTTCCCCCCAGCTTTCTCCTCCTATCATCCCTATTCCCCCTTCCATTTCTCCCCAGTTTAGCCTTAGAACTCCTGTAGCCACTCCATATTTGATTTTAATTTTTAAAACTGATTCATTCAGGATTCTGCTAGGATCTTCAGTCTTGCCTTTAGAACCTTACTCAAGCTCATTTAAATGGCCTTCACCACAGCCATGAGCTTTTGTACCTGGGAGTAGAGGACTAACATTCTAGTACAAGTGTATTTAATGCCAGTGAAGGCTTTGATTCAGCAAGCCCACCTTTAGGAATCTGCCTTAGAGGAATAATCAGAGGTGCACAAAGATGTGTAAGGTTTCTCATAATAGAGAAAAAGTTATAGCCATTCAAATGTGCAAAAAATAGAACACTAATCTCTATTTTTTAAAATAATTGCAAATACTCCAAATCATGTTTTAAAAAGTTGTTCTATATATATTAATAATTTACAGTATTACCCTAGCTCACTGAGCCAAACCAGCTAGGATAATACTGTAAATTATTGATACTCATTATCTTGGGGAGGTAGAATCCTAAATAATTTTTATTTATTTTATACTTTACTATTTTCTGGTTTTCTAAAGTGAATTTCTTATCTCTTGTCATTAGGGAAAACTCTCCTAATATTATTGTTTGGAAAAGGCCTCGAGCCCCTTGTAGGGAGAGCACTTGCAGCTCTGTATGAGGTTTTTCTTCATTTTGTAATAATAGAGTTCACACATCATATTTTAAATATTAATTATAGCAAGAGACCAGAAAGGCAGCAGTGTATTGCTAATCCATCTTCATAGTCTGAGCTCCACTGCTTGAGGAATAGAGGGCGATAAATGACCCAGTGTCCTTAAGTTACTAAATGTCTGTCCTTGAAAGCTTGCTGCCAACATGGCCAAACCTCAGGTTCTAGAACCTTGGGCAGGGGGAGCCGAAGCCATTTCTGGGCCCCTCTACAGTTACCTACAGACACAGCCCATCCTTCTGAGACTGTAGCTCTGCCTTGCACATGTTCCATGTCCTCTCAGTTCCCTCGTTTGTTTCCCTTTAGAAGCAAATCTTTTCATTTGCCCTTCACTTACCTGTTGGCATTCAGGTTCTATCCTCTACTCTACACCTTGGTGTGATATGTTTGTGAGGAGCCTTTCCAAATTACCTCTGCTGTTCCTTAGATTCTGAAATGCCTCAGGGGCCTTCTCAAAATAAGGGTAGTCTGATAAGAGTATTCTTACTCAGATTTTAAACTAATTGTCAATTAGGACAACTTGTCAGTGGCTAGAGTTCAAAAGCTCCATCTTTACCTCTGAAGGCTTGTTGCTACTCTTGCTCAGGGTGAATGACTGCAGTGTTGGCCAGGCAGGCCTCTTCTGTCCAGCTATGGTGGCATGAGGAGGGGGATTCTTGTGCTCTGAGGTCAGTCTTCCTCCCGAGAGGAAGAGGGGAGGAACTGACTGCAACAAGCTCAGGTGGTTCTTCCTAAAGGTACCAATCAGAGGCATCCTTTTCTCTCGTGGAAGGACTGAGGGTAGAGAGCAGCCAAAGTATGATGCTAAAGGTGGCCCAGTCACATGGCAGGAGATATTTAAGAATGGGGCCCAATTTTAACAGTGGGTGGCTTAAGCTATAGCCAATTCCTTCCTCCTCCAAGAGATTTGACTTGTTCACTTAGGAAATATATCCAAACCTGGAAGTTGGGGTCAGTGGAGTATGTGCTTAAACACGTCTTCCTGGTGATGATCATATACCCATTCTGTTCATCCTTTGAACACCACTACCAACTTCCTGGACAGCCTAAAGCTATTCCCAAAGCTTAC